TTCAGAAGCCATTTAGTGACTTTTCCAGAAGCCTTTCCTATATTGAATTTGTCTAAATTTCTTAAATGAAAAACTTCAAACTTATAAAAGTTCAAATAAAGTGTAAAACCAACAGCTAAATCACACTGACAATATGAAAGTAAACACCAAATGTCTTACCAAGCATTAAAGTGAGACCTCAGAAAGTTAACTTAAAATACTACTGAAATGGGTCATTTGGAAAAAGCCTTGAAATAACATCAAACCCTTAAGGCAAAAAGGTCATTAACTCAAGTTTAAAATACTAAAAAGTGGGAGTTTTAAATATATTTCCTCAAAGGATAGAATAGATACCTTATTCAAATTTTTATTCTCCGTTTTCTTCTACCCACTTAACAGAGTAAAGACGTACAAGAGACCAATTTTGTGGTGGTCCATACCACATTTCAAAGTATGTTTTCTGACCCATACCTGAGAAAAGGCTCATCTTATTTATAAAACTGTTTTCTCCCCCTACCCTAAATCAGCTTCCTTGAGGTCCAGGAATCCGAAAGTGCCAAACCAAATACAGCTGAAGCTATGGCCCATTGCAATGTCTGACTCATTTGATCACGTTAAGAGAATATTCCCCTGAGGCACTTGACCAGGCTGGATGGCCCTTAAGCCTTTTTTCTTGCCCAGCTTACTCTACCTGCCCTGCTGTGGGGCCCATACCATTTGCTCTCCAAGCTTCCAGCTGATGGGTCATCAGTAACTCATTCCACCTCTTGGGGGCCAAAGCATCACCTAGACACATGAAGGTTAAAAATCCATACAGAAATGATACAAAGCTCCAGCATTCATGAGGTTAAAATGATTTGCCTGCAAATACCATAAGTTAGGCCCACCACATGTGCATTAAGTTCTGCATAAATGTGCTTAAGGGAGTCAAGTCTTAGCTATAATTAGAGCCCCTGAAATGTCAAACTAGACAGTGAGGTCATAAAAGGAAGCCTCTGGCAATCTAAGGCAAATCTCTCAGCTTCAAGCACCTGCAGGGACAAGCAGATAACAAACAAGTATAAGAAGCCAGCTAGGCCACTTACAGGCATTCACATTCAGATTTTTTAAAAACACTGCCCTGGTCCTCTGTGACTCTTTCTCTAAGGGGATGCACACAACTGAGATTAGAAAGAAGACATTTAATGGAAGTGCAATATTCCCCATCAGAAAAAAATGTGAATACCAGAGCTATAGGCAGGAGGCATGGAAGTTTGGTGGTTCTACAATAAAAATTTTAAAAATAATAATAATTTTTAAAAAATCATTTACCCAGAAAGGGATAGGCTAAATCTTGATGGAGAATCTGAAGGTTGATAAGGACAAACAGAAAAAATGTGAGGCAAAAAGTCCACAAGGTAATTCCCAGTGGGAAAGATTTTCAAACTCTGGATGCCAGGGAGGATGTTGTCATCATGGCCTTTACTGGAGCAAAGAAAGGGCACATCCAAGGTGCCGGGCTCATAAAGTCATGAGGCTAGAAAAGACCAAGAGTTTTTTATTCTGAGATGTTTATCCATCTGCGATTTAATAAGGAACATGGTAAAATTACACACACTCCTGCCTTTTAATACCAACCACTAAGTCGCTTCCTCTTCCTAGGCCTCGGTTACCTCAGCTGTTAAGTGAGGGAGGTGAACCAGAATATTTCTGAGTTCCTGCCCAGCTTTTAGTATATGTGCTGCCGAAGCGAGCACTCCTGCCCAGCTTTTAAAAAAAAGATCAGGTCTGTGAAAAATGGTCGTGCGCTTATGTGTTCAGAAACTCATTCCTTTCTAATATGCCACTTTACCTTTGTGTATTCTGAAACCAATTATTATTAACTAAACTAACACTGTAAATTGCATAATTACTGGCTTGAAGCAGAAAATAACACAGTATTTCTTATTATCTCTGTGATAATGGTATCATATCACCTATGGAGATGATAAAAATAAACCACAAGCGAAGACAAATCTTTAACATATTCTTCACAGCAAAGAAAAGACACTGTGTAAAACTATTTCTGCCCTCTTCCCCCTCCCCACCCCCCAACAGTGCTGGACTAATTTAAGTGAAAAGAAGGGCAGATCAAGAACAGCTTACACAGGAGAAAGCTTGGGCTAGAAATGTATTTGTACCATTATGGTCTGTGTAGTCTAGAGGGAAGCACAGTAGGCTAGATTAGATTCTAGACTTAATCCTTCTGGTCACCACGTAACTCTGATCAGATATTTAGCTTTTCCTAACTTCATTTTCTGTTTATAAAAAGCAATAATCCTACATGTTTTTTCCACCTGAGAAATGTGCTAAGGACAGAAAGAAGTGTGTGAAAAATTTGAGTTCTAGGGAGGAAAGGTATTATAGGTAATAATGGAGCATGTTAATAACAAAGAACACTGATTTAACAATTTTTCAAAACTCACTACCATGACTGGATCAAAGCCAGTGGGGATAGAGAGTCACTCAACCAGAGTAAAAAACTGGGTCATGGGTAAGCAGAAGCAATGAAGACAATGACAGTACAGCACAGCAGAAAGCCAAACCCTCCCCAGTGGACTGAACTTGGCTAGACTAGGCATGAGAGGCATAGACCTGGCTTACAGGAGCCTGCTTTGTGAACAAATACATTCTCCATCTTCCTGCGTTTCTTCATTTCTCCCTCCCTCCCTTCTCCTCCTCCTTTCCTCTGCCCCTTCCCTCCACACATTCAAAAATTTTGCATCAAGGGCTTATATGGACACAGCTCTCAAGCTGTTTCTACACCTAGTTATTTAAACAAATGACTAAAGTTCCATAATCAACAAATGTGACTAAGGGAGCATGTGTTCTCTCCAGGCGTGCAGGTCTTTGCTAACAGCATTGTCACTGGCTTCCTAATGGCTGTTTCTAAAGAGGCTCAGACAGGGAGACAGGAAGGTGGGGAACAGAAGGTAGGGCTGCTGACGCTTCTATAGATGTGCCAGCCAATCGGGGGCTGATCCCATCTCTTTCTTCAGTTTTCTCTTTCACATATTTGTCCCTCTCCCTCAAGCCTCCTTTGTTTTTCCAATCAGCAAGGAAGGAGAGAAAGCCATGTACTGAGTGCTGATCATAGTAAATGTTTTTCATTTACTATCTCATTAAACCTAAATATTTATTTCTTATAAAAATAAATCTGTAATAGTGGACAGAAGACAGATGAGTAGAGGCCAAAGGACTAGTTAGGATGATGTTAACAAGGGCAAGATGGAGAGGGCCTAGATTAAGATAAACTGTATTAGAACTGTTTCTAGGTGGAAAGACATTTCTATTCTGAAATGTCATATTAAAAATATTCTTTTGGAATAAAAGTTAGGTTCTGTCCATGCGTAAGTAAGGTAAAAAATATTTCAAATCAGGGGCATCTGGGTAGCTCATCGGTTAAGCATCTGACTTTGGCTCAGGTCATGATCTCATGGTTGGTGGGTTTGAGCCCTGCGTGGGGCTCTGTGCTGACAGCTCAGAGCCTGGAGCCTGCTTTAGATTCTGTGTCTCCCTCTCTCTCTGCCTCTCCCCTGCTCATGCTCTCTCTCTCAAAAATAAAATAAACATTAAAATTTTTTGTCAAATATTTCCAATCATAGAATATAGAAACCCATGATCCCAAATGAGCTATTTTCCCACCCCCAAATTTACAGGCTGAATTACACATATATCACAATGGTAATAATTAAGGGGCACCTGGCTGGCTCCATTGGAGCGTGCAACTCCTGATATTCAGGTTGTGAGTTTGAGCCCCATGTTGGGTGTAGAAATTACTTAAATAAATAAAACTTAAAAAAACAGGTAATAATTAAATATTACCAATGGTAATAATTATAGCTTTATTTTTTGAGCGTGTCTCTATTCCAGGCATCGTGCTAGGCACTTGACAAACATCTAAGGCCCCAGTGACAAGGGAGGCATTATTACACCCCTTTCACAAGGAAGAAACTAAGACTCTGGAAAGTTAACTAACATATCCAGGGTCATATAAGTAGTAAGGGATAAAGGCACGACCCAAACACTGGTCTGTCTGCCTCCAGAGTCTGTGCTTATTAGATTATGCTATGCTGCTCTCTATGTTTATCTTTTTAGGTTTTCGTTTGCGTTCCTTTTTACTTCTAGGAATGCTGATTGAGGGAAAAAGGAAGCAAGAGGAAGGGCATCAGCATGGGGGTGGGAAGGAGCACATAATACTTGAAAGAAGGAAGAAGAGAAAACCACACCACTTCTCTCTGATACTAGGGCGCTTGCTTTAGAAGGAAATAGATCCTACAGCTACTGCATTTAATTCATTTATATACTTGAAGTCCTTTGTTGTTGCTATAAAGACAGACACCATGAGGGAAGCAGGACGTGGGAGCTGCTGCCTATGAGGGACACAAGTACACCACCATTGATTGCTTAGCCCCTCTGACCATGGGAAGAGCTGACCTGGATGACCACGGCCATCACTTTGCTCCTGGTAGGGCAAGCTGTGTCTCTCTCTACCTTGGCTTATAGGTGCCATGACTCTGGAGCCTGTTCACATCTCCTGATCCCAGTCTTTTTCTTTGTCTCTTCCCCTTTATTCTGATGACCACAATCCAAGCAAACACCAGAAGGGATAGGACTCATCTGGATTACATTAAGTGCTTGTATTATGCTATTTACATTTATGAAATATGGTATCGCGAGACCACATTTAGTAAAACTTTTCCTTAAAAATAGTTTTATTCGCTAATCCACTTTTTATTGGTTAGAAGCAAAACAAAATGGCTCATATATTTAAAAACAGAGGGAAGAAAAAAGACATACCATTCTAGAAATGTCTAGCAAGCAAATACCCCAGGAATATTTATCCAAGTGGTTACCCTGGGATATCTGAGGGGAAATGTGAAAGCAATTTTCTTGGCTATCATCACTTTAATATGAAATGTAAACCCCAAATACAACCTCAGGCGCATTCCTTTAATTTGAGTAAAGTAGTTGTGTTTAGGGAGCATGGATGAAGCTCTTACCTGGCATGACCATGGTCTGTGGGGCTGCCGCATCCGTACTTAAGCAGAGCCGTCCACCTTTGGCTAATCTATCACAGAGCAAGGTGATATGTTTCTTTAGTCGGCTTGTGTCTTTGGGTATGTTCAGCTGGCTGCTGAGGTTCAAAGCCTGCTCCTTTGAACTCTTTGAGAGGCAAGTCTTCAAGAGGTGGGAAATGGCAGCATCCACTGTTTCTTCCCAGCCCTAGATACAAGAGCCGATTTTGAATTTAGGCAAAGATGACAAATGAGCAAAGTAGGCACTTACTGTTCATCAAGTTAGAAGATTGAGTGTTTACGTCCAAGTGTTAGGGACCTGTTGAGAGTTTGGTTTCTGGAATATTTCATACCAGTCTGGTTTTGAATTCTAGCTCTGTCAGCTGTTTGATCAGGAGCAAGTTACTTAATTCCTCTTAGTCACCATCCTTATCTACAAATGAGGATACTAATATTAGTCTGCAGCTCCAAAGACTGGGGTGATTAAATGAGATGCTATATGAAAAGCATTTAGCCCTGTGCCAGACATAATAAATAACAATAATAATAATCCCAGGTATAGGTATGATTGATGACCTGGATCCTGAAGCTGCCAGGATTATAGTTCATTTTGCCTTATCTTTCTGCTGAAGGAGACTGGCCAGGACAGGGAGGTCCTCTGAATATCTTGGGGGAAACTGGAATGTAGAGAAAATCCTGGCGTCTCTCACAGCAATTGGTCCCACAGCCTTGGGGTTGTAGGCAGAAACCAGAAGAGTTTATTTCAAGGGAGATTTTGTGAGACACAAGCCTATCTAGTCCCACTTCACTGCCCAGGTGACAGAAAGTGACAGAAAGTGAGCAAGTGGGACATTTACCCCACTTCTGCTGGGACCATATGGCTGTGCTACAATGAAAACCTCAAGAAATGCAGTGTCCCCTTAGCACCACGAAGGCTGTAATTCTAGGAATAACAATGTTGGGCAGGGACCTCTTCGCGATCATGGAGGGTATCAGCACTGGCAGAAGTGGCATGAGGAGGAACCCACAGGTGGGTTCAGATAACAACAGGGCAAGAAGCAGGAGGGGTCGGCTATAAGCTCCCATTGCGCATCCCTGGGGGGTCCTAGAGACAGCCAGGTACAACTTTTATAGAGGTCTGTAGGTCCTAAACAGCACGAGTGGGAATATGAAAGCACGAGTGAAATCTGGGTATTATTGCCAATGTGACTCCATTTATACCCAGAGGTTGGCAAAACCTAGAGCTCCACAGGCCTGACAATCAAAATGAAAATACAGAGGAAGACATTGAGTGAATTTATTCACACAGAATGCTACAGAATAGTCCAAGCCCCTTATATAAGAGGTGAGAAACCTGAGACTCAGAAAGAAAACTCCCCCCCACCTCCTTCCACCCTCCCCACTTCCCTCCCCACGCCCCACCCAGCCACAGAGATCTACTATTTGCATTGCTCCATCCTCAACCTTATTGGCTAGAGCTGTCTTTCAAATACGCAAATTGGATTAGGTAATTCCTTACCCTGCGCTGTGGTGGCTGGCTGTGTATTTGGTTTCCCCACCAGAGTGCCTGGCATTCTTCATACCCCTAGCACTATGTTTAATAAACAGAGGGTGATCAAGAAATAAAGGGGTGTGTGGGTGGCTCAGTCGGTTAAGCAGCTGACTTCGGCTCAGGTCATGATCTCGCGGTCAGTGAGTTCAAGCCCTCCGTCGGGCTCTGTGCTGACAGCTCAGAGCCTGAAGCCTGTTTCAGATTCTGTGTCTCCCTCTCTCTGACCCTCCCCCATTCATGCTCTGTCTCTCTGTGTCTCAAAAATAAATAAACGTTAAAAAAAAAAAAAGAAATATGTTAGCTAGACAGAGAGAGACATGGTAAGATAGAGAACTAGGATATTAGAGCTGGGAGGACTTTGGAGATCTTTAGTCCAGTCTTGTGGGATTTTCCTAGGACCCCATATACAATAGCAACCATCTGTCTAGGCATGGTTGTCTTCACACAGTCCAAAATTACAACTTTTGGAGGCAGTTCACTACTTCCAGGGACATGTGTAACCAGCAGAAAGCTATTCTTATACCGAGCCAAAATCTGCCCCACTGGCCCTTAGTCTACCCTCCAGAGCCATGCACAATAAATCTAACCTCTCTTCTACATGACAGCCCTTTATATCTGTGAAGACAGCAGTTCTGTACCCTCGCCTCCAGAATAAACAGCCTCAGTTCCTCCAGCTCTTCCTAATATAAACATGGTTTCAAGTTTTCTCTCCATCCTGACCACTTGTCTTTGAATGAGCTCCAATTTTAAACACTTAAAAAATTTATACAGCTAACTAGAGAACCCTAAACTGACCCCAAGACACCAGGCTAAGGATGGGAGTACAGGTTAGGAAATAGCCATCCTTCCCATTTACAAGCAATTCTCCCTGCCAGCCTGGCCTCTGGTTGTCTCTGCTCTCTTGGCAACTGTATCAACTCCTGATTCACAATCAGTGACCAGAAAACTAAACTCTAGACCTTTTTCATACTTGCCACACATCTTCCTTCTAGGCTTGTGCAGTTGGTTCTTTAGACCTAAGGGCAGACTCTATACATGTCCACTGAAGAACTCCCCACTAATTACCGAAATCAAGGTATTTTACTTTACTGACCCATTATAGACACTGCTAGGCAAATTAGGATACAAATTAATTACTTTACACTCATCTTGAATATCCTTTCAAGAGATGTCAAAAACTGTAAAAACAGCTTCCTACTCCAAACCACTAAATAATGAACCGGTAGTTACCACAAAGGCATCTCTATACAACTACCAAAATCTAGACAAATATCTAAAATGGAATTTGTATTTCAATGATAATGGGAAAAGGTGAATTAAGACAAAATAGTAAACCAGATGTCATCTGAGAGGACATATTTTCAAGTTCTTTCAGAGCCATTGACAAAGACCTCTGGAGTATAAGAAGGAAAGATCTTTTGCATATAATTTGGCATTTGTGTGCTCTGTGGTCATTTCAGCACTGAAACAGTTCCTACAATTTTATAGACTATTTGTTTAAGCAAACTACTATTTTCATACGTAACTTACAGTAGCATATTAGATCATTTAAGTAGATATGGCATTTAGTTAACATGGAGGTACTACGAATTTTGTTTCTTACTGCCAACTTGCAGATCAAGTCAAAAACCATGTCATGTTTAGGTATTTGGCATGGCTATTTCTTTAATATAATGAGGCACGATGCCAATACTTTTTAGAAGGATTGCTACTAAAATATAAGATTATTATTTGGAAGGACTATATTGTTACATAAACTCAAATATGATAATAAAAGGAAAGTTTATGACACAAATGAAGAGCCTTTGAAATGAGAGTTTTATTAAATAAAAATACAGTGATAATTCAACGACCAAACATGTAGCATACTTACCTCAGGAAATGTGAACCAGAACTATGTGGAAATGCATAATCTTCCAGTGTGAGAAGTGCCTTAAAGGTAAGCTATTTTAACCATATTTTTGGTGTTTGAATCCACCACTTTTATTTATAGCTCTTAAATTGACAAGTCTAATATTCAGTCTTAACGCCTAAACACACACACACACACACACACACACAGACACCATGCACATACCTACTCTTTATCCTTTACAGTTGAGTATCAATTTTACTAATATTTTCCCTCTTCTAACTGTGAGAGTGAAAGAAAATCCTAACTTTGGGAAAATTGTGCTAAAAGTTATCTAGAAGGGGAGAAACTGCTAAGCATGTGCTCTTTAGTAAGAACTGATTTGATTTTACTTCCCAAATCCCATGTGTGGTTTTTAGAAAACAATAGCAGGTGGGAAGTTAAACTAATTAATTAATGTGTGAATAAATAATGTGTCAATAAATAAATTTAAATGCACATGTTACTCTGTTTTATCTTCTTTATAATCCATGTCAGTATTAGAAATTAATTTATTTACCAGGTTTTTGGTGCTTACTTTATCTAGTCTAATATTGATAATTCGGGTTTTCCTTTGTTCCCAAGGACTACGCTCAACCCCATGTGGTAACTTCATTTTTGTCTTAGCCCTTGCTACCTGAGCCCCTACATTGGGAGCCTGCTTACAAAGTTACTCCTTTATGGACTGGGCTGCCTTACCCCTGCCAAATGCCCTCCACGGAACTGGACCCAACAGGTGTGGCCCTGCTGTCTGACTTCTCTAATGCCAAGTTGTCTGCTGCACACATCCGCCAACATGATTTCCCAGTGCTCAGTTTTCATGTTTCACCTGCCTGTGTTGAGGCTGCTATACCCCATGCTGGTTCCAGGTGCCTCTCTGTACCAGATGATGCCTCATTTCTATGAGTCAGCTTTGTAAATTCAAGGCCTTGGCTTCTCTTCTCTGTTCCTCCTCCTGACTGAAGACAGTCAACTGAGCTATACTTTTTGCTATCCAGACAGCAGGCAGCCTCTGCTGAATTTCCAACTTCTGCTCTAACTGCTCTGCTAGTCTGCCCTGGTCACTGTGCCTAAACACCAGCACAAGCAAGCGGTTTATGAGAAATAGTGAGAAGCAGAAAGTTTGACCACATTTGTAAAGTTAATTTCCTAGGGAATCAACCAAAGTAACCAAAGAAAAAATTAAACCAGAAGAGTATTCTCCTACCACCTGTGTATTAAAACAACTGGGTTGAAGACAGCTGCCTCTAGGTTTCTAGGTTCCAACTTCACCTCCTTCGCCTCAACTTCCCCTTCTCTGTAAGACCTTAGGATAATCACTTAATATCTGTGGGCTACATCTGAGGTCACCACAAAACAGGAATAACGCTATTTGCCATCCCAGGCACTCTGAAATCGTAAGTGGAAGACGCTATGAAAAAAGTATGCATATTCAATCCTACTTTAAAAAAACCAGAAAATACAAACACACCACTGAAGTCCAATATTCAAAGTAACATCTTTAAACTTTTATTCAAATTACAAACTTCTGCAAATGTATGTTTATAATAGAAGCACTACCACATCCTTAACTATAGTAGTATAGGGGGAAATACCACAAAACCCCATCACCAAATGTGCACACAGTCAGTTCTAAGGGAGAGAGGAAATGTAAAAAAAAGGAGATCTGTCTAAAGGAGCAAATGGAGATTATGCAGCTATAGCCCAGATTTCAGCTGAGGAGAGAAAACTCTCAGAAATAGCTTGTCTTACATTATACATTTGA